CAATGTGTCTAAAAAAATATTTTCTGTCCATTTATACGTTAATGTAAAGAAAAGTATGTTACTGAAACAAGATGAAAGTAGCTCCAATTTTTAAAGCACGTGTCCAGTGAGGTGGTAATGCTCTATATCGCCTACAAGTTACTGGTTCCTGCTGTCTCCTGACTCAGTCAACAGGGGCTTTGGGGGAAAGGAGGGGGGTTCCACAAGATGATGCAGCCTGTGGGAGAGGGAATATCTCAATGCTCAGCAGCGACCCAAAGGGAGTCCTCTCCTACTCAAGAGTGGGGAGCATAAAGCGTGGGAAAAGATGGAGAACTCTATGGATCTGACAGGAGGTTAAGGGCCCTTGGGGGAAGGAAGGGCAAGTTAGTATGTGAAAGAAAAAAATTTCATGGCAGCTCAGCAGGTTCTTTCAGAGCATTTTTAAAGGGACAGTGTCAAATCGAGACCTAGTTACTTAAAAAAAAGCAAGCTAGAAGTAGTGTCAGGTGCTATTCTGGCTCCAGAGTTGTCCTGCCAATTTTTGTGGGTTCACAATAACATTTTCCTATTGCTGTTTGATGTGAGAAAGCCCACATAAAACACGATACCAGGTACAGGCAAGTGCTGTCAAGGTAAGCAAATCGGGAAAGATATTTTTTTCCTTCTAATCCAGTGGTTCCCAAACTGGGGTTCGCAGAACGTTACAGGGGGTTCGCCAGAAAAATTTCACTAATGGCGGACAGAGGACCCTGGGCATTGGAGACAGCAGTGGGACCTGGTTACAGGGCAGACACCCCGAGCCCCAGGGAGAATGGGGCTGGGCAGTTGGGGCCGGCAGCCCAAGTCCCGGCGGTCAGCAGGGAAGCTGGCAGCCCGAACCCCAGCTCTCCGCGCGGGGCTGACAACCCAAGCCCCAGGGAGAGCGGGGCCAGGCAGTTGGGACCGGCAGCCCGAGCCCTGCCCCCGTCAGCGGGGGAGCCAGCAGCCCAAACCCCAGTGCTCCCCATCCAGGGTTGGCAGCCCGAGCCCCAGAGGAAGTGGGGCCGGGCAGTTGGGGCTGGCAGCCTGAGCCCTGCCCCCGTCAGCAGGGGAGCCGGCAGCCCGAATCCAGCGCTCCCCATGCAGGGCTGGCAGCCCGAGCCCCAGGGAGAGCGGGGCCGGGCAGTTGGGGAATCCATCACACTGAGGAAAGTTAAACTTAAATCCCTGAAAATATTCATTTTTAGGAAGGGGTTCACGAGATTTCACAGTTTAGTGAAAGGGGTTCGCGGGCTGTTAAAGTTTGGGAACCACTGTTCTAATCGTTAGTCACCTCAGGTGTAACAATACTAGGCCAAAAAAAATATATATATATCCAGGCAGAGTGTTACTTTTAATGGCTATTAGCCAGGATGGACAGGGAGGGCGTCCCTAGCCTCTGTTTGCCAGAAGCTGGGAAGGGGCGACAGGGGATGGATCACTTGATGATTCCCTGTTCTGTTCATTCCCTCCGGGGCACCTGGCACTGGCCACTGTTGGAAGACAGGACACCGGGCTAGACAAACCCTTGGTCTGACCCAGTCTGGCTGTTCTTATGTTCTAAGTTGATGATAATGCCAAGCAGCTCTAGCTCTGCCAGCCCTATATTATTCAAATATTAGGAAACTAGAATGCAACTATTAAACTTTGGTGCTCTAGAATAATGCTGTTTTTGCAAGTATCAAGATACCTGAAGATTTTAGACTCTCGCTTCGAAGGGTTAAAAAAATTCAGACAATTAAAGTGAACGTATGTTTCCTTTAAATGGTACATAAATATAAGAAAAGTGCAAGGTTTCAGCAATACAGCTTTCATAGGGGTTTGACCGCCAGACTGTATAGCTGGAAAGTATCATTATGTGGATGGGAAAACGGATGCATAAAAGCTAAGTGATTTGCCAGGGGTCCCACGAAGAGCAAGAGACGGGGATGGGAACAGGTCTCCTGACTCGGCATCCTATCCACCGGACTTTGTTGGAAAACTACTTCTTTATGGGATAAATGGACGCACACTGTACTCATGATGATATTACAACCTACTTGTCCATCGAATAAATACAATACAGCCATCTTCCATCAACAAGAGCCTGTTTTGGTAACCCCTGCACGCCCACCTGACAGAACCAACCCAGCTACGCAAAAGGGATCTAGAATCCCTCCTGTCTCAAACGCTTTCAACAGAACTGTTAACTTACAAATTCCGACTGTAGGACTACCTTTTCCCTCAGGTTAGGCCTGTGCCACCCCCTCAGCCACACCCCACCCCAAAGACAATAGGATTGCACAGATACAACAGAGGGCATGTTGTGGCCTGCAGAATTTACAAGTGATGATGATGCACAAGCCAAAGAGTACCCAAGGAAACTTTCAGAACCCTTGGTGAGTTTGCAGGACTGGAATTTAGAAAAGCCATCTATTTTTATTGTCAATGGAGAACATTTGCTTTGGAATCAAAATAAAAGTAGAACCTAAGTCCATTTTTTACAGTCTCTTGTCACAGCAGAACCCCGCTTTAAGCACTGAACTGATATTTAACAACATTAAGATCCAAGTATATAGGTGACCACTAGCAGCACTAGAGTTAAGAACCTGTCACAGCATAAGCTCCATTTTTCAGGGGCTATGAACCGGGCAATTAAGATCAGCACCATTGTGGGCAAGAACTTGACATTCAAGGTCTCAGTGCAGGAGGGATTTCTGAAGTGAGACACTCATTGCTTTCTGTCACTTCAGCCTGTTCCCTGTGCAAACAGTTTTATTTTGGGAAGTAAATTTTACGTGGGATTAGAAAAGCCTGGTCCTTGCTTCAGACTAGGAATTAACATTAGAATTTTTTTTTCAAGTGCATAGTAAACTTTACTTATTTTTAAAAATACATTTTCATGCTAGAAAAATCCAGGATGCTGTGAAGTAATTACATGGAAAAGGCTGGTGGTCTAGACATCAAATAGGGACAGATTCTGATACCCCCTACTCACACCAAATAATCCACGAATAATCACATTTTAGTCCTTCAGTCTACTTGTAGAGTAACATGCTATTCAGCCTCAGAAAGGATGGAAGAATCTGGCCCATAATACACATAAAAAGGGAGTGTATTCATAAATTCTGGAGCTACTTTACTTCCATAAGAGACTTCCTTCTTGTTCTTCAATAATATCTAAAAATAACCAGGCAAAATTTAATAGAGAGGCATATTAGCATGCGGAATAGTCTCCTAAGGATTTGAAGGAAGCCTTGCTATGCAAGTCATTTAACAGTTAACCGAAAGGCCCCTAGAGAATGTACTGTCAGGAACAAGACTACACGGTCAGTAGAAACAGATAGGTAGATAAGGCAATAGTCTTTTCCATCACTAACATCGAAGTAAAAAGCTACCGTGTATTAGAGAGCCTATCTTTCCCCACAACAAAAGGGCCAGACTTTAAAAAAAATAAATTGTTTTTATTTAGCTGTATAAGAGAAGCAGCCCCATCAGGATTGGGCGGAGGAAGGGTCCATTGTATTAGGTGCTGTACACACAAATTGAGGGTTAATCTGGACAAACTATCTGTCCCCAAATACTACCAGGGGACTCAGAACACCAGGTGTTACACCTTAATACAATAACCGAGGTCCTTCAAAGGCAGGCCAATATAACTCCTCCCTTCCTGTCCCAAACTATCATGTGGTATTATTTTACACTCTTTAAGAGTTCTCCCACTGCACCCCAGAAGTGATTGCATTTGAATGATGGACGAAATGATTCTTGTAAATGGGTTTTGGATAAAACGGGCTATGTATAGGTAGGATTATCTTCTACAGTACCTGGGGATGGTTCAGACTAGATATTAAACCAGATTCTCAGCCTTAACTCTAGGCATCATGACTAGCATGGGTAAACCAAACCTTTGGCCCACGTAGGTAGTTGCATTGCTTGGACTGTGCTTCAGGAAATGACTCAAACAGCTACACCTTCAGGGCTGTCAAAACTCTGACTAATAAAGATAACTTGAGGAGGAATAGCCTCCTTGGAGGAACGAGAAACAGGGTCGCCCAGGGAGGGGCAAGTGGGGTAATTTGCCCCAGGGACCCCCTCGAGAATATAGTATTCTATAGTATTGCAACTTTTTTTTATGGAAGGGTCCCCCAAAAATGCTTTGCCCCAGGCCCCCTGAATCCTCTGGGCAGCTCTGCTGAGGAAACCTGAAGCACTATCCCCTCCCTTCCAGAAAAAAGAAAGAAATGAGGTAACGGACAGGGAAGAAGGTGCAGGACAGAACTCTCCCCCCAAGAACTGACCCTGGGAGAGGAATAGCAGAGAGACCTGCCCCCCACCCAGCTCCCCAGAGACCCTGACCTGAGGGGGGGGGAGGGGAGAAGAGAAACCTAGCCCACACTTAGCTTCCCTGACCCCCCGGGGTGGGGGGAGGAGTGAGTAAGCAAAGAGCCCTTCCCCCACATGGTTCACCAGAAATCCTGACCTGAGAGAAGGGGGTGGGGGGGAGTAGAAGCAGAGAAACCTACCCCACCCCTGTGGCTCTCCAGGGACTCTGACCCAGGGGAGGGAAGCAGAGACCTGCCCCTCCATGGCTCCCCAGAGACCCTGACCCGGGGGGGAGGGGAGCAAAGGGCCCTGGCCCCCCAACTCCCCAGACGACCCTGACCCGGGGGGGAGGGGACCAAAGGGCCCTGACCCCCCCCAACTCCCCAGAGACCCTGACCTGGGGGGAGGGGAGCAAAGGGCCCTGCCCCCCCACTGCTCCCCAGAGACCCTGACCCGGGGGAAGGGGAGCAAAGGGCCCTGCCCCCCCCACTGCTCCCCAGAGACCCTGACCCGGGGGGAGGGGAGCAAAGGGCCCTGACCCCCCAACTCCCCAGAGACCCTGACCCGGGGGGAGGGGAGCAAAGGGCCCTGCCCCCCCACTGCTCCCCAGAGACCCTGACCCGGGGGCTCCCCGGTCCCAGCCCCGCGGATCTCTCCGCACGCGGGGGTCCCGGGGGGTAGCGGGCAGCCCTCACCTGGTCCCCAGGGGCGTCGGGGTCCTGACTCCCTCCTAGAGGCGGCTCCTCACTTCCGGGTTCGCCGCCGCCATCTTGGAGGCGTGTTGCGTACACGAACTTCCGGCCCGCCAGACCGGAACCGGGGGGGCGGGATCCGGGAGGAGGCACCGGGAGGAGCGGGGGTAACGGGAGGGAGTCGCCGCCTGCCGGCTCCCCCTCTAGTGCCCCCCGCCCCTCCACCGCCTCCTAGTGCCACCCCCTACTACCTCCCTCCCGCCACCCCACCCCTAGTGCCCCCCGCCTCGCCTCCTACTGCCACCCCCCACTACCTCCCTCCCGCCACCCCACTGCCCTTCCCTAGTGCCCCCCCGCCCCACCTCCTACTCCCACCGCCAACCCCCTAGTACCTCCCTCCCGCCACCCCACTGCCCCCCTTCCCTAGTGCCCCTCGCCCCGCCTCCTACTGCCACCCCCCACCCCCCTTCCCTAATGCCCCCTGCCCCACCTCCTACTGCCACTGCCACCCCCTACTACCTCCCTCCCGCCACCCCACTCCTAGTGCCCCCGCCTCACCTCCTACTGCCACCGCCAACCCCCTACTACCTCCCGCCACCCCACTGCCCCCCTTCCCTAGTGCCCCCTCCCTGCATCCTACTGCCACTACCTCCCTCCCGCCACCCCACTGCCCTTCCCTAATGCCCCCTGTCCCGCATCCTGCTGCCACCCCCCTTCCCTAGTGCCCCCTGCCCCTCTTCCCTAGTGCCCCTGCCCCGCATCCTCCTACTACCTCCCTCCCGCCACCCACCCCCTTCCCTACTGCCCCTGCCGCCCCGCCTCCTACTGCCCCTGCCGCCCCCCATCCCTAGTGCCCCCCGCCCTGCCTCCTGCTGCCACCGCCTGCCCCTGCCCCATCCTCTACTACCTACCACACCCTACTACCTCCCTCCCGCCACCCCACTGCCCTTCCCTACTGTCACCCTGCTACCTACCCCCAACCTCCACTCTCTGCCCTCACCCCTCCTACCTACCACCCCTGCACTGCTTACTGACACCCCCTTTTTAAATTAAATTAATGGAGATAGCCTATCTCCTAAAACTGGAAGGGACCTTGAAAGGTCATTGAGTCCAGCCCCTGCCTTCACTAGCAGGACCAAGTACTGATTTTGCGCTAGATCCCTAAGTGGCCCCCTCAAGAATTGAACTCACAACCCTGGGTTTAGCAGGCCAATGCTCAAACCACTGAGCTATCCCTCCCCCTGCCACCACCCAACTCCCTGCTCCTACTGCCATCCCCTGCACCCTGTCCTCTGCTGCCTACTGCCACCCCCTGCTACTTACCACCCCTAGTGCCACCCCCTGCTCCCCATGGCTACCCCCTGGACTGTCCTGCCTGCTGGAGTGCCACAAGTGTCAGCTGTGGTATTTGGGGCTGACATTGCAGAGAGCTACCGGGGCTGTAGGAATAGTGGGGGACGGTCTCCTGCTCTTTTTCTCCCTGACGATGTGGTGTGGGTAAGAACAAAGGAGACGAGACAGGACTGTTGGGTTCTATTCCTAGCTCTGACACTTCAAGCAATTTGCTTGCCAGTCGCAGAGCCCGGGTCTGTGGAGACGTTCGAGTTCGGGCTCTGAAGTGAGGGAGCCGGGAGGATTTCAGGGCCCAAGCTCCAGCCATCCAAACAGCTGCACTACAATTTTCGGTGCCATCGCATGAGCCCGAGTCTGTTGGCTGGGCTGTGAGACTTGCTGCTGTGGGGATGCACCCAGTGTGCCTCGGTTTTCCAACTCGCAAAATGGGGCTGGCAATAACCTACCTCACGAGGTAGCTAAGCACTGTTCGAACTGGACTGGATTTCCAGGGACGTCACAGCGGCAGAGCTACGGTTGCTTCTGTCCCACACCGACCCAGTGTTCTCATTCTGTGAATTGACAACAGATCTGCTGAGTCACTGAATTGAAGTGAAAGAAACTCTTCATTCTGGAAACGAACCCAGCTATCTTTCCAATGGTCTTCTTCTTTTGGTTTCCTTCCTGTCCCTTGTGTTGGATCTTTGCCACTTTTAATTCCCTGGACACCTAGACAAAAATAAACCCCGATGGGCTCATGCAAAAAGTGCATTCCACAGGGGTCTATTTTTATGTTGGCATTAACTGTTCTAATCCAAGCACAACAATGCAGATATCCCACTTTTGCTCCATCTCTTCAGCTTGAAACTACCGACAGCCCAGAACCACTGCCATCCGCTTGGCCTTTACCATATCAACATCCAGTGTGATAAGCTAGTGAGAAGAAGGGCTGCGAGCATGAATAAAACAGACAGTGTAAAACAAGGAGCCTCTATGTTTGTTGTGGGGTCAGGTGTTGGTTTACTTGCTGTTGTGGTGAATGAAAAGACTTTCATGCCTGGCAGCGCCAATGTGTGCTGGTTGTTGCGTTCATGCTACTTCTCTCTCATGTGGGAAGCCCTCCTTTCCCCTCTGCTCGCAGCCTGTTCTTGCCCAGTGTTCACTGGCCACAGCCAGTAAAAAGCCCACCTGGCTCCGCCCCAAGGCCCCTTCCTGCTGCTTGCGGCTAGTTGCCCCAGCCCTGTCAGGCTGCCTCCTCTTCTGGGAAGCCTGCTGGGTGGAGCTGGGGCAAGGGCGGCTATCCTATGGCCTGGACTTGGGGTTGCTGGGGCTGCCCAGCGCTGGGGGGCCCCGGAGCGGGAGCTGCACTGCCTGCCGCTCCAGGGCTGGAGGCGCTTGGGTGGCCTGGGGGTCGGGGGGGCAGGCTGGGGTGGGGAGGACTCAGGTAGAAGGGTTGGGCCAGGCCAGGGGCTAGCCCTCCCTGCCCATGCTTCACCCACCGTCCATAGTGTTGGAGCAGCAGGGATCTGTATGCTCTGTATAACCTGTATGCTCAAAAGGTCTGTTACACCCCCCCCCCCTTTGAATACCTGTGAAGTGGCTTTCCCCCACCCCTCCCTCCTGGAATGCTTGTGGGATGAAGGGGCTGCTTAAACAGCTGGAAGATCAGAAGAGCTCCTAAATAGACAAGATGTCTGGGACTCTAATTAGGCAGCGCTCACACACCCAATGCATGGACACTGGCTGAGGTGGAGTGTGACCAACCAGACGCAGCCAAGTCATCTCTAGTCGCAGGCCGTGAGGAGCAGGTCCTTAAAAGGGGAAGGGGCCACATGCTCAGGAGTGCACTCACAAGCTTGTACCTCCCGTGAAGGCCCTTCGCCCGGACCGCCTGGCCAGTGGTTCGCTGCGTTGCAGTCCGTCATACCTTGGGAAAACTTACCTTCATCACCCCATCCATCGCTGCGCTGTGGGACACTTACCTTAAAGGATCCTGACATCTCCAGTGCTGTGCCTGTCCTGGGAGCGTGTGTATGTGAGTGTGAATGTGACACACACACCCCTTTTTGAGCTTAGCTATCAATATAATAAACGGGCTGCTTTCTGCCAAACTCTGGTGGGTCATTAGTCCTCCCTAAGCTTACTAGCTGACCCAATTTCGGGTAACACATGACACAGAGAGAGCCTAAGTAGATGGGTTCATCCATTTGAGTGTTTCCCCGTGAAACTCACCAGTGACTGTATCTTGCAGGTCCCCCCTCTATGTCCAATAGAGGATTTGAATCTGTTTCAGAGCCACCTAAAGGGCTTGGCTCTTTAGTTCAAGTGGTAGCCGCTCACGCTTTTAGTTCTGGAGGGACCTCAGTAACAGCCATCACACCTCCTAACAGGGATAGCCGATCACAAATAGGAGCCACTGAACCCCACAATTGTGAAACCCCAACTTCAGCAGCTAAAATGGGGCCCAGCTTCCTAGAACCTGGGGTCACAGACATACGGGTCCCCTCCCCGAAGTCATAACAATGGTTGAAGGGATTCTATATAACGTTTTAGGGTTTTCTGGATCATCAGCTCACATGTTAAGCAGCTGGGTCACCAGGAATTCCTCCAAATAGGTTCAAGGACTCTAAAAAAGATACCGGAAGCCCTATATATATATGCCATCATGTGCCAGCAATGCCCCTCTGCCATGTACATTGGCCAAACCGGACAGTCTCTACGCAAAAGAATTAATGGACACAAATCTGACATCGGGAATCATAATATTCAAAAACCAGTGGGAGAACACTTTAACCTGTCTGGCCATTCAATGACAGACC